ATAATCATTGCACTTAAATTTAAAATCCCACCAAGAAATAATAAAAGTCAATTTTAACTTTATAAATTAGAACTTTAAAGTATTTCTATAGACATACCGAGCTGTCATAGGGATGAAACCAAGGTGTAAACACTATCTTCATTTATGATTTGTGTACCCCTTCCCCTTACACAAAGTCTGAAGTAATTTTTTGCAATACTTGTAGTTTGCTTAGGTTTTGACTGTGACCTGTCAGATGAGATAAGGTGTGGAATTTTCCATTTGTAGTTTCACATCAGTTTTAGATTGTGGAGCACTTAGGATGTTGTTTTCAGATTGGCATGCAGTTGTTATGGTGGTGGTTGCTGTGCTTAGAGCAGCATTTGAATTAATACTAGCAGACGAGCAGAAATGGCATGTGTTTAGTCTACTGCACAGGCGCTGTCCCCATGCTTACAGGGGTCAATCTTTGCAGCAGCTCTAGAGCCATCCAGTCCCTAAAATCCAGGCAAGGAGTTGAGCTTCAGAGAAATACCTTGCTGAAGAAAATGCTGTTAGTAAAGTGGCAGGAGCATAAGCCAGATGCGTCTGACTCACAAATCCTGCGTCCAGGCTGTTTTGAGACCGAGCCTCCAACCCTGTTGAGCTGAGTTAAATTCCTACACTAAGCCTCAGTGCTAGGAGAGAACTTTACACCTCAGAGGGTGAAAATCTTTTCAGCCAAAGCAGGACATGTTTAAACAGAGGAGTAGGTTTTTATATTTTTCCCTGTATCTGAAGATAGAAAGTTCTGAATGTTACATCAAAGCTAGTCAAATGACAGTTTAGAAAGTAAAGTCAAGGCTCAAGGGCAGATTTTGCTTTGACTAAATGGATTTTGAGTTTCAAGCCTAGTCTCAGGGTCTAAGGACATAGTTAACCATGACAGGAGGTTTCCAAGAGGGATCAACAGGCCTGGATACAATTCTGACAAAGAAAACTCATTGGTATACTCAGTTAATTTTTTTCCAACCAGCATTGAAATAAAGTTGGCTTTTCCGAAGAGGACTGAGGGAGGGGCAGCTGTAAGATGATGCAAGCTTGGAACTTCTGGAGACCTTGGTGTAGCCCCAGACCTCTCCAATTTACCACAAATTGGTAGCCATAGTGAGCAAAGAACTTGGGCTGCCTTTGCTGACACCCTCAAGTGGCCTCTAGAACACAGAGCTGGGCAGATGAATGAATGGGCACCAGAATCTGCTTCCTAAAAACTCAGAGACTTTTTGAGTTCCCAGGAATGTGGATTTGTGATTAGAACCTTGGCTGCATCTAGTTTAAACTGGCAATTTCTGCACCTTTGCTTTTCTACCTACTGGCATCTAGAAAGCAATGTAGGGGGTGTCCCCACCTGTTCATCCAATTCAAGGGAATAATTCAAGGCATAGTGAGCCTTGATTCAACCAGAATGACATAATTAAGAAATATCCCACTGATGAAAACCTGTACATTGCAAACAGAAAAATTCTTAGTGCTCATTCTATGTTCCCAGAAGGATCTTGTCAAATACATGGTAATAAAGTTCCTCTGGCTGCTTACCCTGGATTCCAGATCTCTCTTCCTTTTGAACAAAGTACATCTGCTGGCATGAAGGAAGACTCAGTCAGGAACCCTTGTACCTTGTACAGAGCCAGGCAGTTTCTCAGTGCAGGCCCTTGAATGGCTGTTTTGGGAGAAGGCAAGAGTCTTATGATGTCCAGAAGTTACATAAACCTGTTAAACTGTTGCCTCATTCCTTTGTCTTGACCTGAAATGCCCTTACCCATCAATCCTACTGTCCCTCTACTCATCCTTCAAGGCTACTGAAATTCTTGACACATACTAAGTGCTCTGTAAATGATTGAGCAGCTGAGTAGATGGAAGGAGAAGAAAGAAAGCAGGTGGAAAGATGTCTGACACAACCAGGACATGGGTGGGCAGATAAAGCCTTGTATAAAAACTCCAGTTGGCGAGTTCCTACCCTTCTGAATGTGATTCAGTTTTGATGCCACTCGTTGCTGTTCCATGCTTCCTTACTTTAGAGCCATCTGCCAAATGCCCCCTGCCATGACGTCCTCCTCCTCTGAGCCTCCAACAGCTCCCATCCCATATACACTGAGGCAGAGCTGGTGTTTAGCAGATAACAGATTCTCACTGTCCAGTTTAGGGTCACAGCACTTAACTGCCCTGAAGATTGTTTCAGGCCCACCTCGATGGGAGGAACAGAGGTCCTAATTCTTTCCTGCTGCTGTGTTTTGGCTACAGCATCACAGCCACAGCTGCCAGCATTGGAGCTGCTGGCGTGCCCCAGGCTGGTCTGGTGACCATGGTGATTGTGCTGAGTGCGGTGGGCCTGCCTGCTGAGGATGTCACCTTGATCATCGCTGTCGACTGGCTCCTGTGAGTTGAAATAAATACCCCTGCCTGGGCTGGATGGTCAGCCATGCAGTGCTTTCCCTGTGTTGGGCACCCTCTCTTACATGGCCTAATGAGCCATCTGTTGCTTTCATTTCCTTCTGATGAAGCCACCTGATAACATGCTTAAATAGTAACTCTTCACAACTTCATCAGGGATTTCAAAAAGCCAGAGAGCTCCATCAGCTCATGATATAACCTGGTAATGCTCAGGGTTAGGACTCAGGCATACAAGATCAAACAAGATAACAGGGTGAAGGAGCTGAGCAAGGCCCCATGACCATTCCCACTTATCCCAACCTTGGTTTAGCTTCATAGGCCCAGAACGACCTGCTTCAAAATCACTGCCTCTTCCCAAGCATCTTTGGAGTCCTTATCTCCATCTGGTTTCTCACTAGGTTTAGGACCTTGTATGTATTTCTAAAACTCTTTGTATCCCAGTTGCATTATCTGTGAGATGGGAAAAATTCTGCTACCTCATTGCCTTGTTATAGGGACCATGTGAACTGATGGGAGCCAAGTATTTAGAACTGTGTCCTGTAGTCAGTACATATTCAATATAGAGCAAGTTCTAGTATTAGGATAGGAATGAATGAAACCACTTAGGCTCTAAATCTGTCTGTCTCTGTCTGCCTCTGTTCTCCCTCTCTCTCTCTCTCTCTCTCTCTCTCTCTCTCTCTCTCTCTCTCTCTCTCTCACACACACACACACACACACACACACACACACACACACTCCCCAGATCACCTGGATAAGAATATGCCTCTGTAATATCCAAAATTGAAGTTGGAGCTAACCTGATCCCTGGCTTTATTCTTTTTGAAAAATATTTTTATCAATGCCTTGAGAACTTCATACAGTGTATTTTTTAATTAAAATTTTTATATTTTGTGTATGAGTGCTTTGCCTACATGTATATAAATGTACCACATACATACAGTGCCTGCAGAGGGCAGAGAGGACATAGAATCACTTGGAACTGGAGTTATGGATGGTTGTTAGCTGCCGTATGGGTGCTGGAAACCAAACCCAGGTCCTCTGCAAGAACAAGTGCTCCTAACCATGGAGCCATTTCTCAGGCCTCCATATAATGTATTTTGATCATATTCAGACTCCTTCCCCCATCTCTACTACCCCCTCTCCCTGGACTTCATGTCTTCTATTTTTTTTTTTTTTTTTTTTTTTTTTGGTGTCTTTTTTGAGACAGGGTCTCCCTGTAGCCCCAGCTGCCCTGGAACTCACTATGTAGACCAGGCTGGCCTTGAACCCACAAAGATCCACCTGCCTCTTCCTCCCAAGTGCTGGGATTAAAGGCGTGTGCCACCACGCCCAGCTGTCCTCTATTATTTTTTAAGGCCTATTGAGTCTAATTTGTGTTCTCCAAACGCTCTTCAGTGTTGATCTACCCAGTGAGGCCTGGTCAACCTGCCCAGTGTCACACCCTTAAAGAAAATTGACTCTCCATCTCCCAGCAACTGTCAGTTGCCAGCAGTTCCTCAGCTAGGGCTGGAGCTTCCTGCCCACCTCTCCTATCCTTGCTGGGTTTTTGTCTGGCTTGAGCTTGCACTGGTCTTGTGTACTCTCTCACAAGTGCTGTGAATTCATGTGTGCAACTGCCTGTTATGTCTGGAAAACATGGTTCCATGTGTTCATCCACTGCCTCTGGCTCTTACAATCTTCCCATCCCTCTTCTACAATGATCTTTGAGCCTTGGAAGGAGAGGGTATGATAACAGATGTCCCATTTAGGGCTGAGCACTACACAGTCTCTTATTCTCTGCACCCTGGCTGGCATGGCTTTATTCTTGATATCCACATCTGTGCATTTGTCTTCCAAGACCAAGGTCTGGTTCTTCCCCTGGTCACTGGAGTAAGTATAGCTCCATATTGACCCTCCCCTCAGAGCCAGTTCCAGCCAACTGGAGAGACCAGGGCTGTACAATTTGCAGATAACAGCTGAGATGGAAGAAAGGAAAGCAGTTGTTCTATGGGGGTTCCAAGCTTGCACCTGGCTTGGAAGCCATGATCACTGCTCAGAAGTGGGTATCAAAGATAAAGACAGGAACCAAGCTAGCTGGAGCACTGACATTGCAGCTCACAGAAGACGTCCTCTCACCCAGATGGTTTATATTTTGAAATATACCCGCAACTAACTAAATCACACCAGCAAAGCTGGAGAGCCAAAGACCCTTGAAGTTTATTCATTACAGTTTCTTTCTGAGACTGTGGCCAAGTTGCTAAGTGTTGGGTGTGTGGAGATCTATTTTTCCAGAAAATAAGAGAAAAAGCTCTCTGTTACCTCCACGGTGTACCATTTTGGCAGCTTCTAGCCAGCCAGGGCTCTAATGCGCATCCGAGGTAGCCACCTTCTTGGAAGAAGGCCCTCCCACTGAGACAAGATTTGGTTTTCCTTTCCAGTCCAGATGGCAGGTTTGCCCTTCTCTCCTTTCCCTGGTTCTTCCTAGAAGCAGTGGCTTCCACAGCCAGGATGAGTGGAAGATCCAAACTATGGGATCAAGAACACTGGACCAGTGTTGTCCCTGGCGTTGCTCATGGAAGAAAGGTGTCCACAGTGGCATGTATAGACACCATTAGCCTTTTCTGTCTCAAGTGTCATTTTCCCAAACATGCCCATATTATATAGTCTTACCACCAAAGCCCCAGGGTCAGTATGGATACCCACTCTGTGGGCTTTCTCTGTTGGCCTTCCTGCCACTGGCTTCTTCTCAAGCCTTTCTTTGGATTAAGGCTGGCTGAGGATGCCACAAAGAGGTACCTATTATTTCTGGGCTGGCCTGTAATTTTGACCCCGTCTTCTGCCATATCCCTAACCAGGTTACTCATACAGAGACTGTGTTTGGTAAAGATATGAACACATCAGGAAAACATATGAACCCACATACCCCACACACACTTGGCACCATCCACCCACCAAACATTCAGGTTTCTCGCATTAGCCAAAACAGAGTCCTCAATACCAACTGCATTACAGTTGGGAAAACCTACAAAACAGAAATTAGAGCTGAAAGACTTAACGAGTTCTGAGCCTTCCTTAGTCCCCTAAACATATCTCTGGAGACCTCATTCTTATTTCTTTGGGAGGAAAAGAAGGAATTTCAGGAGTGTGAGAGAAGTCATTGCTACTCACCTAACAGAGCCTATCTTCCTGTTCTGTGCTTTTGGAATGATCTTTTTCCCCCAGCCTGTGAGACACCTGGTCAGCCAATCAGAAGGTCAGAGCTTTATGCTCTGACTTAAATTTTAACTGAACATGTCAGGGCCTTTCCTTTCTCCCTACACCAGTGGAGGAAGAGGAAATCTGAGCCCTGATTCTCCTATCTCTTTCTCAGGGACCGGTTCAGGACCATGGTGAATGTTTTAGGTGATGCATTTGGGACTGGCATTGTGGAGAAACTCTCTAAGAAGGAGCTGGAGCAGATGGATGTTTCGTCTGAAGTCAACATTGTGAACCCCTTTGCCTTGGAATCCACGATGCTTGATAACGAAGACTCAGATACCAAGAAGTCCTATGTCAATGGGGGCTTTGCAGTGGACAAATCTGATACCATCTCATTCACCCAGACCTCACAGTTCTAGAGCTCCAGCTTCAGATGGCTGGGGTGATGAAGGACATCTCCACTGGAGTCATCTCTTAGGAAGCTCTGACATTAAGGAAAAGAGAAACACTAATGGCCAACTGTACATTTAGTTTGTATACAAACCTCCAGATTATTTTCTATATTTGGCTTGATAGCCTTTGTTCTCTGGGTTTTAGAATTTGGGGTGGGGTAAGGTGAAAGGAAATTAAGAGAGAAGTTGTATTATCTGGGTTAATTATATAAGACAAAGTTTGGAAGTGTATAAAGTAATAGCTGTTGGACTTCAGTAGTGTCTGTAGAAGAGAAACTCCTTTCTCATGCATAGACGAGTGTTTGGGGTTTTTAAAAAAATTATTATTGGTTATAAATTTTTACTCAGGCTTTCTATTGGCATGATTTCCTTTACCCTCTCACTTTTTATAGATTATGTGTCTCAACAGCTCCACCCAGTTAATGTGCCAAATTTTCTATTTTGAACTCATCTCCAGCAACTTTCAAACTACTGTGGAAGGGAAAAAAAAAAACAGACCAGCACAGTTCTGCAATAACAATTTAAGACAGTCATGGGGTTTAAGGGGAAGGGAGAAGGGTTCTTTATTCACTGTACTGTATTGGGACACTGGTAACTGTTCACTAAGTGTTCAGTATAGCACTATATGTATATGTGTATATATTTATTTTCATATAATTTGCAAGACAGAGATCAGTAGTGAATTGTCAATGTGAAATAAGGAGCTCTCCTTGTACTTGAATCATGACTACAATTCCAGCCAAGGTGTGTGTCAGAGCTTATTGGAACTCTCTCAGGAGCACTGGGATGAGAAATCAAGCTGTTGGGTTGTTTTACACTGTGTTTCAGCCCTACAGCAGAAATGTAAGCTGTGATACTTCAGGATGGCATAGCCATTCATTTACAACTTCCAGGTTCAAACTCCCTCCAGGGAGAGAATCTATATCAGCACTGAGTAAGGGCATTACAAAGCAAGGCATCATTCCCAAAGGCTTGATGTGCTCATATCCAACCAGAAAGCTTCGTTTTTCCAAGTCTACTCTGACCCACTTTGCAAGGCCACTGTTTTTCTGTCCTTGCTCTTTTCTATCATCAGGATCCAAACAGTAGTGGCAAGTCATCACCCAAGGTGAACAAGCCACCTTGCAGGGTGACCAAGCTGTCCCTATTCTGTATTCTTGCAGAATAAATCCTAGGACATGAGATATTCTATCAGTGATTCAGAGGAAATTCTTCATCTTTCTGCACACCTCCTGCTCCAGAGAGGATGGTTCTAACTGATGATCTTAGCCCTGTTCCTTAGAATCCTTTGGTTCTTTCTGCCAATTTACAGAGATAGCTTAATAAAAGTCTGTGTTCATCCTGTAAATAATGCTCAGCATAAACGTGTACTTACCAGAAGACAGGTTCCTAATAGTCATGTTTCTGCACTATCTTTAGCCACCTTAAACCCATGCTTTTATATTTAAGAAACTGGAAATTGTGCCAAAGATAGCAGAAAGGTAAATGAATGCTCAGTGTTGGCCACCTGCCCCTGAAATTTACAAGAAAATGACTGGATTGCTTCGCAAACATCGTAATGCCCAATGAATCTCTGTGAAAATATGAAGTGCAAATATTGTTTTTCTAAATATAAAATACATTGAGTGAATAATTTCTTTGGGGCTGAATGGTTCTATTCCCTTATCAGGTGGCTCCCTCCCATTAGAGGCACTAGAGGGGCAGAGCTGTTCATGAACTCACTGGGGTCATCCTTGTAACCAGCCTCTTAACACATTGTGTGGTTAACGCAAAAGGAGACAGTGTTCCATTTCCATCACAATAAACATTTCCGACATTCTTTCTCCTTGGCCTTTTTCTGCCTCTTATCTGTTCTTTTATTTACATGAGTAGGTGTGAGAAGATGGAAATGCAGGTCAGTGCAAGAAGTTCTTATGAAAAGATTGGTTTCAAAAACATTTCATCACCCCTAGAATGAAAAAATAGGACTTGAGGAAAAAAATACTGATTCTTGGAACTGGAAAGATGGCTCAGCAGTTAGAACACTGGCCACTCTTTCAGAGGAACTGGGTTTAATTACCAGCACCCACACGGTGGCTAACACCCACATCGTGGCTAGGAATTCCAGTTCCAGGGGATCCCACACCCTCTTCTGACCTCCATGGGCATTCATTACACAACACAGGTGCACTTAGATACCAGCAGGCAATATGCTAACACTCATAAAATAAAAATTAAAACCTGATTCTTCATGTTTACCAGTGAGAATCACAAGACTGAAATACAGGGTTGCCATGAACAATTGGGCTCCTATTTTGTGGCTGAAATGAAAATAAAATTTTGTTGGAAATTACTATCATAGGGACTGGAGAGATGCTTCAGTGGTTAAGAATACTTCTGTTGCAGAGGTCCTGCATTTGGGTCCCATGGCATGCATACAATCGCTCATGACCATCTATAACTCCAGTTCTGGGAGATCTGATGCCCTCTTCTGACCTCCATGGGTACTGCATTCATGTGGTGCACATACATACATGCAGGCAAAACACTCATACCATTTTAAACTTAAAAATACTGTTACAGGGACTGGAGAGATGGCTCAGTGGTTAAGAGCACTGGTTGCTCTTACAGAGAACCTGAGTTTGATTCCCAGCACCCACATGGTGGCTAACAACCATCTGTAACTCCAGTTCCAGGGGATCTGATGCCCTCTTCTGACCTCCATGGGCATTGCACAACATGGGTACACTTATATACATGCAGGCAATACACTCATAAACATAAAAATAATAAAATATTTTTTAAAATACTATTACAAACAATAAAGCACTGGCTTGCTTCACTGAAGGGCCAATCCTGCCCTCTGAAATAGGACTACAAACTAGGAATGGCTGGATTCAGGGCATTCTTGGGAGAATGGCATGGTCCTTCCTGAATACCTGAGTCACCATCAGGACAGGACTCATCTGTAATGATAAGTGTCAAAGGAAAAGATAGCTCCCTGCACCTCACTAGAAAGAGCAGCATAAAAATGTCAACTGTTGGCTGGGCGTGGTGGCGCATGCCTTTAGGGAGGCAGAGGCAGGCGGATCCTCTGTGAGTTAGATAACAGCCTGGTCTACAGAGTGAGTTCCAGGCAACTGGAGCTACAGGGAGACCCTGTCTCAAAAAGACCAAAAAAAAGAAAAGAAAAGAAAAGAAAAGTTAACTGTTATCTGGGCACAGGAACACAGGACAAGCTCTTGGTTGTCACATGGAGGGGAATTCCCCAACAACAGAGCTCCTTAGAACAAAGTTTGAGATTGTTGGTGCAGCAGGGCAGAAGTCCACCATGTGATTTTGGCCTGGCTCAAAGACTACGCACAGTATCGTCATCAGTACCAAACAGCTACTTTTATTTTTTCAACAAATTTTTGTGAGTTCTCTAGGTTCAAGGCCCTTTTCACAAAATCCATCTCTGTTCTTAGAGTAGCCATGGGAAACAAGTGTGGCTGGCAATCAGACAGTGGGGGCCAGCAGCAGTAATGATTTTGTGGGTATCTAAGAATGGCCTGTCAGTCAGACAGTGGGGACCAGCAGCAGCAATGATTCTGTGGGAAGATTCTAAGAATCTTCCCTCTGTGGTGGGAAAAAAGGGTCCTGAGGAGCCTTGAAAGAATGCTAGAAGATGCAATACAACAACACTGATACTCTGAACTCTGCAGTTTCTCAGCAAGAGACCACAGGAGACAATTAGTGGGCACACAACTCCAGTGCCCTCTTACATCTGTGACCTTTGCGCTTTCGTTTTGCCCTCCATAAAGCGGGGCTAACAATATGTGTTTCTTGAGACTGCATTAAGTATTCAATGAGAAAAATGTATGTGGCATGTCACATACCACAGGAGTTTAGTAAATGCTGGTGCCTTGCCTTGATCCCAGCCCCTGAGGAAAAAATAAAACTTATACCTTTCCCTCCTCCTTCATTTGTACAGGTAACACACAGACACGTGCTGTGGTTAAGTGTCCCCCAAAGGCCCACATGTTGGGTGTTTGTTCGCCAGCCTCTATTGGGAGGTGGCTGTTACAATTGAAATGGGAAATGTCCCCTATGGGCTCCTGTACTGAATGCTTGTTCCCCGGATGGTGATGCTATTTTGGGAAGCAGAGGAACCTTTAGGAGGTAAAGTCTCACTAGAGGAAGAAGGTCACAAGAGGCAGGCCTTTGAAGGTCATGTGTACCCCTGCTTGCTGCCTCATTCTGCTTCCTGCTCTACCATCATGTCAACAGGCTCTTCACACTCCCTCTGTTCCACCATGCCATCCCTGCCACGGTGGACTGAAACTCCCTGCAACTGTGAACCCAAATAAATCTTTCCTCCCTTAAGTTGTTCCTTCAGATATTGTAGTCACACCACAAAAGTCACTGATCCAGTGATGGAGCCTTTAGGCAGGGGGACCTAGTGTTAGGTCAGTGGAGGCATGCCCTTGAAGGCAATATTAGAACCCAGTCCCCTCCCCTTGTCTTTCTTTTTGCTTGCTGGCCACCAGGAGTTGAGCAGCTTCCCCTGCTACACACTCCTACCATGGTACCACCTTGTGTGTCACAGGCCCAAAAGCAACAGACCAACCGACCTAAAAATGGCCAAAATCATGAGCCAGAATCTTTCTTCCACATAAATTGTTTATTTCAAGTATTTTATCACAGTGACAGAAAGCTAAGGAATAAAAGATGCAACTGCAATTGCTGTTCCAGTATCCCGATCCACATCACTGATGTGGTCAGGGAAGTTAGACCCCACCTCTTGATGCTAACTAGGCTATTTCAGCAAATTGTATATCAAGTCTAATGAGTCTTTTCCACATAGGGAAATCCCCATCTAGAAACTGAACATTTTAATCCTAAAATATTTTCTCCTATGAAGTAACACATGGAATTAAAAAGAAATGGTATTCACAATCTTTTGTTGTTGTTCTGAGACATAGAAATGTTTGTGGTGTCTGCCTATGTGAGGCTGAGGTCACATTTAACTCCCCTTTGTATGTTCAGAATGGGGCATGTAATCTTGGCCTGTTAACCCAATATAACTTCTCAAAAACTCCCCCCATTGCCAGAAGCAAACCTTATTCTGGGCCCCACCTGGGTTTTTTTTTTTAATAGAAAATGTGCCTCCCTGCCCCCAAATCCCAAAATGTTTAAGTGAAAGTCATAGACTACAAACAATAAAAAGTAGGCCTCATTCAGTTAGCATTCAGGACAACGTATTGCCGTGTGTATGTGGAACTGGGTGACTGCACCTAAAATGTTGTTATTTACTAGGATGACAATGACTGAGGACATTTCTAGTACCCTAGGCTATCCGATGCCACAAAACTAACTAGCCAGTGAGCTCTAACCATACAACTGACATCGCATCTCCCCTCATTAGACAAACCAGTGCCATGTGGAGGGCATCTCTCCAGAATCATGGGGATACTCTGGCTCCATCTACACATCTCCACCTGGTCTGCCACTTATAAGAGCTCACAAGTTCAGAATATTTGTGCATAAAGCTTAAAGACATATGAGAAGCAGCCATAATCCTTATTCTGATTGGGGAGAAATGGGTGCAGAAAGCTATTGTTCATCCAGAGAAGTTCCACTGAATTTTAGAAAGCCTCACCAGCCTGGAGATTCAGGCCCATGGAAATAGAACAAGGCTATTACCTCAAGAGAAGATTGACCTGCACCAGAACTGTGTATCAAAAGAGAGCAGAGTCCTGCAATGAAAATAGAGAAGAACCAAATTCCTGAGCGGTAGTGTTTGGATGTCAACACCCCCTTCTCTCCGAGAAACTTCCTCTTTGTCACAGGCTGGACTGGTAGCTGTTCCTCCGTGATTCAGGAACACCACAGTCATTTTGTGATGTCATGTTCACTTCTTCCTTTACTTCAGGGCATCTGAGGGAATGCAAAGCAGGCTGCTTGCTCAGAGTGTCAGAGTTAAGGGTGTAGCGGCCAGTGGTAGGCAAAAGGAGGCTGGAGTCCTGACATGAGTGAGGACTTGCTGCGTCTTACCAGGACTCTGTGGAAAGGAACAGGCTCCAAGGTAAAGATAAGACAGATTGAAATGTGTTGTTCCAGAAGGGTAGTCCCTGGAGAAAGGGCTCCACATTGTCCAATTTATAGACCTACGCTCACAAAGTGCTCAAGGCCTGTACACTTTAAAGATGACTTTGATGCTTTACCAGATGTTCAGCTATAACTTCATTTCAATAGCCTGTATTGTATTTCCATGGTCATCATTTAGCTTGGCAAGAATAATAAAAGACCAGCGGAAAGGGATGACAGAGCTAACTGGATGGTGAAATGTGGGCTCTGAAAAGCGAAGCTGAGAATGGCAAAGCATGAGGGTGCTTAGGAAACTAGGTGGTTGTCTCAGGGTCCAGAGGGCCTGCACTATGACTCAAGCAACAGCAGCTAGCAACAGGCGGATGCTGGCTGAGCCTCTAGCAATACTTTCTTCCTCTTCCCAGCATGCAGTATCGCTTTCCCTCCTGGGGCTTCCTGGCTAACCCTCCAAGTTAGCCAGAAACATGGAAATAGAGAAGAATGTGTGGCCCTCACACTCATCACACACAACCCAAGTATTCCTGAGTTGGCTTTCCTGTTGCTGTGATAAAACAATGACCAAAAGCAACTTGTGGAGGAAGAAGTTTATTACGTCTTACAGTTCACAGTCCATCATCTAGGGAAGGCAAGGTAAAAGCACAAAGCAGGAATCTGGAAGCAGGAACTAAAGCAGAAACCACAGAGGAACGCTGCTTGACTTCCCTCCTCCCAGGTGACTCTGTTTTTGTATCAAGTTGACAAAAATTAACCAAGA